GTTTTTGTTTTGTTTTGACAGATTGGATTGAAAAAAAAATTGGCAATCCAATAATAATTGATCGACAAATGAAAAACAACAAAAATCATTAATTATGGATATGTTAATTCAATTTTCATATTTGAAAATTATTATATTTCGATTTAACATCAAAGAAACCAAAAAAAAACATCATCATAATAAAATAGAATTGCATTAATGCAAAAAAACTACTAACAATTTAAACATAGGGTTTGAATATGTTGATTTGGAATAAAAAAGAAAAGAAATTCAATTGAATATGATCAAAACGAATATCTATTAAAATTTGAACTAAAATGGTTATGAAAATTATGATTTTTGAAATGAAAAAAATCATTATTATTCTTATTATTATGATTAGATTATAATAATAACCGTCCAAATTTATTCATCGAAAAAATGTGATTGTTTCTTTCTTTCTTTTCGACAACCACTTCTGAATTGAATTCAATAAGTGTTTAGTCATTTTTTTTGATGCAATTAGTGTGATACAATACATACTCTCGGATTATTAAAATTTTCACCCGGATTTATAGTGTTCAAATTATTGTATATGAATAATATTTTTGGAATGTTAATGCAAATAAAAAAGAAATAGACGATCGATCAATCAGTAACAAATCTACTAATGGAAGAAATATTTCACAAGGACAATAAACAGAAAAAAAATTTCTTCACATCCAGCTACAGGGTGTAGGATGTTGAATAGATGGATTTATGGATTTATATTCTCAAACTGAATATCTATTGTCCAGTGCGAATGGAAAAAAGTTTAGAATAGACAAAAAACTAGAACTTTTATTTTTAGGAAAAAAACATTGAATTGAATTTTTTTTTCTTTGTTCACCACACTGTCCATATTTTCGATTTGTATGAAAAAGTAAGTGAATATAAAAAAAGACCAAGAACTTTTATTTGGATGAAAATATAAAAAAAGAAAATATGTACAGATTAGATCATGGATGTTGACTTTTTTTTAAATATGAACCGATTGTTGTGCAAATAAATAAGAATTAATAAATTGGAAAAAAATGGTGAGAAAATATAAGAGTATATGACAAAGAAAAAGAGAGAAAGAAAATCACCACTTTCCGGAAGGCTTGCCATCAATTTTCTTTTTAAAAAAATGAATGCTTGACATTTTGACCATTTCTTTCAATTTATTTATTTATTTTTTACTAAGAAAAAACGATTCAATGAAAAAAATAAGCATTTTTTTTTTGATGGCAAATAAATGGACTGAGAGCGAAAAAAAAATATTGATGCGACTAGGAAATTATTATTATTATTTCATTTTTCTTTTTTGTTCATCTTCAAATTAAGTTTCACCGATATAATTCTAAATTATGGTGACAAATTTTTTCCCATCATTATTATCATTAGGAAAAAAAATAATGATGTCATGATGAAAATTACATCACCTCATATGTGTTGATCGATGATCATGAGGATTTTTGTTTTGTTTTTGTTTTGATACTATTCATTTGAATGTATGAATAGGAAAAAAAGGACAAATTAATTTGAATGAAAATCAATCATTAAAATATCTGAACAATATTCGAATCAAAGTGAGAACATGAAATATTTTCAACACGATAGCGTGAATATTAGATTTATATTTTATATTTCTGAAATCCTTTTGTAGTTTATTCACGTTTTTTATTATTAATAATGTTTGTTATTATTGATTGATGTTGTCGACAACATCAGCAAGGATAATCGAAGAAAAAAAATCAACAAACAACAACAACAACAAAAGTCACAAATCAATGAGAAAAATAAAACAGAAGAAAATCGATTAAAATTCTGATTAAATCAAATAAAATGATAATCGTTAATCGTAATTGATACAGAATAATTTCATTTTAATTAAAGATTCTCTAGATTAAAGGTTTATTTTAAATTAGAAAAGAATAATCAAACAAAGTTAGAAAAAAATGAAAATGATCGATCATTAACCTTGAATAATAAATTTCGAGACATGAATTTGTTTTTTTTCGGAAGGGATACCGCCAATATTATTGACAATATGTATTTCAAAATCATTATTGTTTCTGACTTTTTGGATATCAAATGTTCCAGGATGGCCAAACCTTTTTATTTATTTCAGATATGAATTTTTGTTTATACTTTTCATTCAACCGAAACGAAAAATTCGTAGTTCCATTATTGAAAAATAACAATATTGAAAATGCACGAAAAGCAAAATCGATGAACCGCCTTTTTCAAGGTAACAAGGTCGTAGTCGCCATTACCATTATCGATGATTGTTCATCGATTCGTACATCAAACATGAATTTTTATATACGATGTGTCACAAAAAAATTCAACAAAAAAAAGTCAAATTCAATTAATCAAAAAAATGCTTTATTGATTGTCGAACATTGATAAAATGAAAATTCATTATGTCAATTTTGATGAATTTTTTTCAATACAAAGGTCAATTGTCATGTTAATGACAAGTGAAAACATTTTATTTGTTTGTTTTTTTCTTCAATTATGAGAATATATAATAACAATAATTATCTGAAGTTTTAACAAATTCAAAATTCGGATTCACTGACGTTAAAATGAGAAAATTGAATTTCCTTTCTTTTTTGAATCAATCATTTCGTCACTCTGGCATCATCATCATATCAGTAGGTCTTAGCACCTGCTGTTCATACTAAAAACCATTTCCATGTCAATTTTTGTTTTTGCATTTAAAATTCAGTCAGTTTTGTTTATTTTATTATGATTATTATTCATATAGTAATATGATTCTGGAACACCAAGCGAGTATGCTTGTTAACCCGCATCTCTTCTGTATTCATTCTTTTTTCTTTGTTTGTCAGCATTGAATATTTATTTTTCTTTCCAAATAATTGATTAATTGATTTGATTTCAATTTTTGTTTTGTTTCACAGAAAAAAAGGATCACACAATGGATTTTTTTTTATTTGGAGTAGAAATAAACATTTGCTTTGATTATAAATATTAATGTATGTGTGTGTTTTATTTATATATTTGGACAACAATAAATGATAATTTAGAAACAATGTCCAATGGACTAAACAATTTTTTTGTTTTATTTACAAGATGATATTGCGAAACTCTGTGTTCCTGGAACATGATTGATTGCCAAAGAAAAAAAATGATTCATAAGATAGATCTGAATTTCTATTGTTTGAATAGCTTTTATACAACAACAAAAATGTTATCAAAATCTAAATGAAATTAATTGGCTCAAATAGGCTGTTTTTTTGGTGAAATGTTGGAATCTTTTGATAGTAACGAAATAAAAAAATGAAAACCTTTGATTTTGATGATAATTAGTATATGATATGATGATGATGAGCATTGATTAAATGAAATAGAATAGAAAACTTTTACAGCCGACAAAGACAATAATAATAATAATATGATGATAATAATCGTGACCATGTGAAAATGTGAAATGGAATGAACAAAATACATTTCATTGTTACCATTAGTGGATTCAGTTTTCCACATCATCATGGATCATCTATTAAGAAATGACCACAAAGTGCCAGTCACAATATGAACAATAGATATTTGAAGTGGCTAAATTTGAAGTGATGATGATGATGATTTTCATCAACACATCACATTCATCTGGATGATGGCCAAACATGATGCTCAAATAAAAAAAAGAGTTTGATTGTTCCAACATCATGACTCCTTTTTTTATTTGTTCATTTCTATTCATTAGGTTCAAGGTTTATACCGTGGAAGTTATTCTTTAAAAAAATTCTTATGTATAATTTAAACTTTGATAGCTGTAAAATTTAAAATCGATAACTTTCATGAAAATGAATTGTTTTCACAATGTAAGATTCGTTGTATGGCATAAAGCATGTAATGAAAAAAACCGCCTTGTATTGTTTTTTTTTCAAAACAATTTCATATTCTCTTTTTTTGGTTTGAGATTGTTGTGAAGCCAAATTTAAGAGAGAGTGAGAGAAAGTCTCTCTCTTAAATTTCTGAATGTCTCTCTAAAAAAAACATCTATTCAACCATACAGGCCGTAGATAGATGATACAAGCTGCCATAGTTATTGTCATCGACATACAAACACACAGAAAGTTTGTCGATTTACCTGTTTATTTTCACTCATCATTACTAATCATCTTGGAGTGTTCCAGAAAAAAAATTCTCATTCATTCCTATTTTGTGTTTAGTGAAAAGAGAAGTGAACACTTTTGCTATTATCTATAATCATATCGGGTTATCTATCATTATCAATCGATATTTGTGTATGGATTATTTCTATCTCTCTCTCTCTCTCTTGTTCATCTTTTCTCTGTCAAACGAAAATACAAAAAAGAAAAATACAACCATCTTCTTAAAGATCATCAATTTTCTTCAGCTATTGATAAAGAAAAAAATCATAGGATCCATCATACCAAAATAACAAAATCAAAATATCCGGAGACTATCGGTCATTTTTTAAAACAGTGATCGTTCTTGTGAAACAAGTTTTTCTGTTGTTGTTAATGTTTGTTTAGCTAATTTTAGCTATATTCGTCTTTTTCTCTTTTGCTTTCAATTTTGTCTATAACCGGTACCACCAATCAATTATTGAATTGTTGCTGGCCGATTTCTATTTTCTTCTTTCTCATTTTGAAAATTTTTCTGTTGTTGTCGAACTACTTGGGTTGAAATTAGTCTTTGTTGCTGTTGTTAATGAATCGATATTATCTTAAAACTAAAATCCACAACGTACAACCGAATATTCATGTGAATTTATTCCATACTGATAATCAACAATTTTTCAACATTCTGTTGCTTTGTTCATAATAAACCAATTGTGTTCATATTAAATATTGATTGCATAATATCAATGCTTTCAATGAGTTTCTATAAAGTGTGTGCTAAAAAATCACATGCATGCATGTGCTATTGTTTTCATGTTAGATTCTTATGTGTTTAGTTGATCGATTTGTCATATTATTTCAAATACTGTACAATCAAATAAAATTTTATTCATCAAAATGTTTTCACAATCATCATTAATCTTTTCAACATTATTTGGATCATTATTATTGTTGCTTGGTAAGTAAAGCTAGAACCAAACAAAGAAAATCCGAACGAAATTGAATACAACCTAGTTCAAGTTTCTTGTTTGACAATGAAAACATTGTAATGTTATATAATCATGTATTTCAATATTGTTTGAATATCAACGAATTTCAAAGGTTAACCCTGTAATTATACAGCTATTTTAAGTGTAACATAATTTCTGTGAACATATATGATACAAGTTTGTTTACATGGCCATAACTTTATAAAGAGAAATTGACATTTTGATATTGATATTTTTTATGGAGATCATTTTACTTATATAAGATTTTTTTCACATGTATAATTCATTTCAGATATAAATAGATATTGAATTCAATTCAGGCTTTTACCCGTTGTTGTTGATGATGATTATCATCATCAGCTATTCAGATCATTGTATTGAAACTTCTAATTTTTTCATTGGTCTCTTTTATTCAATGTCAATATTTTTTTCCATTATTAAACTATTCTCATCTCAAAGATCACTGACAACCGATAAAAATGATGTTGATCATCATCATCATCATCATTGCGTAATTCATTGTATTTCATTAATATAAAAATGATGAGAAATTTTTCTTCGTTATGGAAATAAATTCGATACAATATAGCAAATTTTTATCATTCTTTCATCAATGTCATTCAAAAATTTAGAATTTTTTTTCAAAATATAAAGTAACAATGAATTTTTTACATTCAGTGAAATTTAAAGAAAAAAAACACGATCGCCAATATGAATCATAATTTATGAATGTTTTCAATTGTAATCATTATCATTAACATCGTCATCATCATCGAATCAATTTCCGATCATTATTTTATGCTAATAACAATAATGTACTATCTTTATTTGAAGGATTCTATAGAGAGGGATAGTGTGTGGTGGACCTTCGACTTTTTTTTCTTGCACTCCAATCACCTATCTTTCTATTGTTTTATTTTTTTCTCGCTACTTATTATTATTATTATTATTATGAACGTTGTTAATAAATTGATGATGATGATGATGAATTTCACACTGAAATAATATTCATCAAGATTCATTTATTCATTCAAGCTGAACACATGCATGAAGAAAAAGAAGAAAGATTAATTATCATTACTGCTTGTTTTTTCCTTTTTGATGATGATGATGATGATCAGATTTATTGGTCGTTAGTATTCCATATAGATTAGCGAAATGATTTTTTGACGCGACAGAATAGAATATTTGTGTGTATGTTCGTTTTTGTCAATTTTTATTTTTCGTTCGAGGACATGATTTTTTTTTTCTCTTTTTCTCATTGTCATTGTCAATCTAATCACGTAAAAGTTAAAAATTCTCGCATCATCGTAAAGATGCCAAAAAAAATCATGAATTCTTGTCTTAAAATACCAACAACAACAAACAAACTTCTGTGTGATTATATTTATGAAAGATGAAATTATAATTGTTCATCATCATCATCATCATATATCGTATAATAATCATTTTCAATGACAATAATTATTTTTGTTTGCATGCAATGATATTTATACAAACCTGGAATATAATTCTTTTGGTTGAATACAAAGCAAAACACAAAAAAATGATTGCGAATTGAAACTCTATAGAAATTAAAAAACAGGTTAAATTTTGATAAATAACGTGAAAATTATATTTTTTTCGAATGTGAAAAAATTAAAAGGAAATCTGTTTGTTTGGAAAACAATGTAATGATTCATGATAGCACGGTAAAAAACAATAATTTTTTCAATTTCTTTTGTCTTTTTGTTAGTTGTAAGCAAAAAACACGATATAATCACGAATATTTTTTCTGTCTATCATCACTATCGTTTTATTAAATATTAAGTATACTTGCACGTGCAAAATCTTCATCATTTATCGATGTATTGTTTTTCATTATAATGTTATTACTATAGGCCATTTTTTAGAATCTATGAATGGAAAAAAATTGTCATTTATTAATCTATTTAATTAATCAATCATCGAAATTATTGAAAAAAAGAATAAAAGATCGTGGTCTAAATTGTACATTTTTGGCAGGTGATTAACACCATGTAATTATCATCATCATCATTGTTCTGCCCTTTAGGTATAAAAAAAATTTTGCATGCGACTTTAATTCACTATTAATGATTGATTGAATTTATCAAAGCAATCAATCAATCTATCAAGAGCTGTCAAACAAAAAAGAAAATATTTATTTGTGACATAATCTTAATGTAATGGCATTTGTTTAAATCACATTATTTCTATTCGAAATGAAATTTATTTCTTGCCATTCAAAACAAATATATAAAGATGAAATTATCTTAAACTCAGTAATCATCGTCATTATTAAAATGAATTGAATTGAATAAATGTTGAATGAACAAAAGTGTCCAGGTGTAAATCATTTTGATCGTTGTACCGATGATGATGGAGATGTCAATAGTGAAAACAAACAATGAAAAAAAGGGCAAAAGATTGTTTTGATTCACAAATGGATCACGGAAAAAATAATGGCGTAGGCAGAATAAACACAAACATTCCTTTGTGTATTTAAGTTTATTGTTTGTGTTGATTTAGATTTTAAGATTTGTTTGTCGCGTGATTGTTTATATGAATCATTCGACCATCCATTCAGATTCAGAAACAATCATTTTCATTTCATTTAATACATCTTGTTTGAACTAAAAATAATCCACAAATCTTAATAGAGTGAATAAGAAAAACAAAATCTTTTCGATTTGGTTTGTAAGATAAAAATCTATCAAATCAAAAAGATTTGCGGTCGAATAAATTTTGATAACGATATCGAGATTTTGGATATTTTGCAAAACAGGAAGCAATCCGATCATTCAAACAACGATGTTGATGATGATGATGATGGTGAAATGAAAACTAAAAATCTAATCAAAATCGAATTCGATTTGTATCTATCGTTCCAATTATATATAAGCCAAGTGGAAAGAAAATTCATTTGTATCAATTCCATGAAACTGATAATGTCAAAACTAAACAGACAAAAATTTTTACATTTCAATAATCTATGGATATTGTCGTTTAATTATTGATTTACATTCAACATCAAATTGGATTTTGTTGTCATATTAATTAAAAACATTTTTAACAATCTGATAAATCATGATTTTCAAAAAAAAATTCAATTAATAAATTGCAATTGGTGACAGTAATTATCATATAATTTGTATTCAATGTAGACAATCATCAAATCCAGTAAACAAATGTAAATTTTGAAATAACGAATAATGAAAAACAAATTGTACAAAGTAAATGCATGATATCATCTTAAGATTTTTTTGTTTCAAGTTTCAACAAACAAACAACACGTGTCGACATTTATGACTATGATGATATCTGTTTCTTTTTCACAAATTGATTAATTATCAAATGCATACAGTCAAGGTTTTCACTTGGAAACAAAAAATCCAATTAATTCAACACAAATAATTTAGAAATAAATGATGAACAATTTTTCATTCTGTTATTTTCATGTCGACAAAAGCAAATTCATCGAATGTATCAAATTGTTTCATTTTGCTAACGATTTGTTTTCAATATTTTGTCATTACAAGTGTCCTAAATGTAATTTATTTAATATTTTAGTTCAATTTCATTTCAATCATGACTGAATCATCACAATTTTTAATGAAAATAAAGATTAGTGCAAAGCGAAATATTCTTGTCCCAAATTCAAATATTTTACAAGAAAATTTCTCATTATTATGCAAATATATTTTTTTTTCTATTGCGAAGCAAAAAGTTTAAATCCAATTAAAAAAAATAAATAAATAAGGAAGTCATCATTTGTGTGTGCATGTGCATGAAGAATATGTCACTCTCTTTTTTGTTTAGATTTATATTACAATTTAATAGTGACAACAAAATGGTGTTCCACTTGTCATTTTGTTCATGTCAAAGATTTTCTTTTTTCAAACAAAACAATATAATTATCTTTGATGAGATAGGAAGAGAAAAATTTTTATAGTGACCACATCTTGAATGACATTTATCCGAATTATCATAATCTGATAATAATCTTTATTGTGATGGACGCACATGCATAATCTAGATCAGTGCTTCTAAAATTGTTGATCGTGAAATTTGACAGAAAAAAGCTCAGGTTCTATGATAGGACCAACAAATATTCAACATGCTAATACTAGTTTTATAATTAATAATGATTCATGAAATTGATCGAATTCTTTGTTCGACCATCAATAAAGGAAACAAAAAAAAATGTTTAGTCAGTTAATGAAATTAAACAACAACAACACTGAAAGATTTGAATGAATATAAGACCTTAGTTTTGAAAATTGAACAAAAAACTGATCAATAAAAATATATGAAGAGTAAATCCAAATCGAATTGAAAAAAATTTTGGATTAACCTTATTAACTTTCAACAATCATTATTATGAAAGTTTGCTTTCAAGATGGATCTCTCTGTGCTAAAAGAAATGAAAAAAAACGACAAAAACTCATCATTTCTTTCGTTTTGCATAACTTGACAACGATTGATGGAATGAAATATTGAAAAAAATAAATTGAAAATCCACGTGTGGTCAAAGCAAAATAAAAAAAACATTCACTAGTTTTTGATTCGATTATATTGAAGATGCCATTCAAAAAAATTTTTTGATTCAAACTATTTGAAATTTGCATGTGGATGATAAAGTACTTTTCATCACTCACTCATAATCATTATCGAACAGACATAAATCAACCTGATTTACTAATAACATTAATCATTATCGAAAAAAAAATATCAATCAGTTTTTCAAAAATTGATATAATCAATTCAAATCATCTAGTATTTTAGTTGATCTATTAAAGAACAACATTTGAAATATGATTGATAGACGTTTTTTTCAGGAATGAATCCAAAATTTTGTCAAATTTTCGTTTTTTTTCATAATATTCGATTATGCTGACAAATTATGCAAAATTTTCTTTTTTTTACATTGATATAAAACATCTGGCTGTTATTGTTAATCATAACAATAAGAAAAATGATTAATCAAATGCTACTAATAAATCATCAAATCAATGTGGTAAAGTCATTTCCTCAAGACAATCAACATTAAATATGAAAAAAATAATAATTTAAAAGCCATCATCAACATGTGGAATGTCCATGAATGATTACGAATGTTTACCTGCGTGACAATTAGCCCTGATTACAATGGTGGGGAGGAGATTCATGTTATATAACATTTCTAGTTATCATTTTTGTTTGTTGTGTTTCATCATCATTTAGTAGAAAAGATGATCTTGACAGACAAAAGAACTTTGTCTTTATGCTTGAATGCTTTGATCTTTCTTGTTGTTGTTGTTTCAAATAATAAAAAAATCAAAATATGGAATAAAACAAGTTTATAAACAGAAAAAATGATGTTTGTTCGATTTAAAAATGAGAAAATAAATTATAAATATTTTTGCAAAACTGAATCGTTTAACACAAGTAATTTTTTTCTCTCAGTATAAATTAGGTTTCAATGATCGATCCAATAGATCGATTACATTTTACTAGATAAAATGGCAACAACAATAGTTGACAAACTTTTATGGAAATACATTTTATCACAATTCAATTCGTTTATGTGTATGGTGCAGCACTTGAATCTAGTTCAAACACACGAGATATCACTTTGTTTTTAGTGTCATTCATTTGGAATTTTCGTTGTTTTTTCTTCACCATTGTATTATTGATTAATTGATTTTTTTTCTTTATTAAAGGTGGGAAAAATGATCTGTTTCGATTGATAAAAAAAATTGAAAATCAAAATGTTTTAGTTTTTTGATTGTTTGTTTGTGTTTTCCGATATAAGATCACTAATCATGGAATTGCAAAAACAAAATGAAAGTTTTCTTTTTCATTGAATTTTAATGATGGATTTTGAATCTATCTTGTTTTGTCCAACTTTATATCAAAGAAAAAAATCAATTTTTCCCAAATGCACGAATTTGACTTGTTTTAGAAAACCAGACAAGAAAATTTTTCAACATTGATTGACAATGATCAATGTAGACAATGTTAAATTCGTTTGATCAGTAACATTAAGTTCATTCAATCGATGATCATTTTTTTTTCTTTCATTTATCATATTACATTAGAAAAGTTCGTTTCGATCATTTCATTCTATTTGAAATCCGACATAAGAAATCTCTTCGATAACCAACACATATGAACATCAGTGTCAGGAATTTCAAAAACAATTTTTTATATACGCTAACAAACATTTGAATGACTAAATGTAATAATGTTCATCATAAGAACAAAGCTTAGGGATTAAATCACTGTTTGTGATCTAGTGAAAACCGAAAAAAACCTATTAACTGGTATGGATCGACATTATATATAAAAAAATTCAACTATAGAACAAGATTCCGAAAAAAAAGAATCACAAAAATTGTTTGTGTTCATATGGGTAGGGATGTGAAAAAGAATTTTAAATTGGTTTTTGTATTTTTGAAAATCAAAAACAAAAACAAAAAAAAACGAAAACTGGAAATGATTGAATTGAGTAAAGGAATGAATTGGATTACAATGAAACAAATGGATTTTCATGCAGGGATTTTTTCAAATTCAAATTTTATACATTGTTCCTCCTAAAAACATTTATTCATTTATGCTGTGCATTACGAATGAATGAGACAATATTTTCAGGAACAGCTGTATCGTTTCATCGTATGTTGACAATGAAAATATTGTTCATCATCATTTTCCTTTTTTTCCACGATTTAGTTGATTTGTTTTTGTGTTGTTGCTGTTATAAGAATTCGAAGAATAAAAAGCAAAAAAAAAATGAAAAACGTAACTAAAAATAGTTGCATAGATGATCATTTCACAATTTTCATTTTCATCATTAATTAAATTAATAATCAATCAACTTATGAATCGTTTATCGTTTTGTTCATTCATCGATCAAATTATTTTGAATGCATGACTTGCTGCTAATAATTGTTTCTTTTCTTTTCTTTTATTATGAATTGTGTTAGTAAGATCTATAGTTGATTTTCTAGTTTATAACATCGACATTGTCGAAACTTTCTAATTGATTTGAATTTTTGTCTGAAAAAAAAGAATAATAATATTTGCCAATAGACAATGTCTGTAGTTGTCATAGATATGATTATTATTTCCCAATTAAATCTGATTATTAACACTTTTTGTTCTCATTCTCATTTTATTTAATTATCATTATCAGCATCACCAAGTAATACAACAGAAAAAAACTTTCATAATTTATAAATGATTGCAAATTGAGCTGATTCTTATTAGTTGAGAAAATGAAATCTAATAATTTTAAACAGCCTTGAAAACTTTTGATTCTCGACAAAAGTTTATTGTATGATTTTAAGAGATTCTGATGAAAAAGATGAAAAAAATTGTCATTTTGACAATTGAAAATCTACCATTGTCAGATTTCCAATTAGGAAGGGTTTTCTTTCGAGTCGAATGTCAAATCATCAACACTTTTATTTCCATTCATATAAATTACACACAATGTTTCATTTATTTCAATTATTTTTATACGATTTTTGATTTCCATCATGAAAAAATTGGCTGTCATTTTGTGGCTGTTTTAATTCACAAAAAGAAAAATGATTCTAATATAGTCCAAGTGTCATCACATTAAAATAGAATGATATCTTTGGAATGTTTTTTCTCATAACCTCGATTGAAATCAATGATACAATACCTTGTAGAGAAAATCGTTAATATAAAATGTGACAAAGTGACAATTATAAAAAAAAATTTAATGAACAAACAGTCTGAACAATAACCTATTTATTTCAATCAAATTATTATTAATTAGATTTTCAAACTAATTTTTGTAGGCAGAAATCCGATTGTGGTCAATATTTTTTTTATTGATCACTAAAATGATTAAAGCGTGGTTAATCAATTTCAACATTATAATCATTATGATCAAATGTAATAAATTAATTTATGATTTAAAAAATCGAATGATGATTTGAAGTTATAGGAAATCATTTGATTGAATAATAAATTATAGACATCGACCAACATTGATACTCGAAATTCATATGGGAAAAAAGGTTTGATTACATAGGACAGACTAGAATCATCAATGATTACATAGATATTCACAATCTTTCCATCAAATATATTCATTTTTATGATTCAAATGTTTGATTGTCAATATTGTATTGATAAAATCGATTCAAATTAAAAAATGATTCAATTCTAGAATTTTGACTTAAAAAATCCTAATCATTTATATAATTAATGAATTTGTTTAAGCAAAACAAAAAAAAAAAAGAACACCAACAATAATCATATACAAATGTTGATCAATCATTTCGGTATACAAGATTTTTTAGTAACACAATAAACACAAAGTTTTATCTTTTATAACTTCCCAAACACATTAATCATTTGGGTAAAATTTGAACAAGAGAAAAAAAAACGTTAACCATGTTAACGAAATAATCAGTTATCATCGATTTCATGAGTACTATGATGAAGTTGAACATAAATTTTCCAATATCACAATAATTGACGCTATCATAAATTGTTTGGATGTTCGATAATGAAAAAATTTTGACATAATAAACACAGATGTGTGTTCCACAAACCAAACTATAAATCGTTTTTTCCGGACACGATACATCTGGCCAAAAAAAGAGTTGAAAGGAATAAAAATTGATATTTATGATGCTGATGATTACAACAACAGGATAACATACTATAGAGTAAATTAACAACTAATTATTATATGCTGTTGTTGTTTTTTTTTGTTTTCATCTTTTGGATATCATCATCAAAATTATCATGTTTTTTTCACCTTGTTGAAAATACGTATCATAGCGTATCATCCGTTTAAATGCACGCATATAATGATTTAAGGTGGAATAGATTTTGTAATCATTACAACATCGTTCAACACGCGGAAAAAGTCCATCATTTCCTTAACATCATGTAGCCAATGATGTAGATTTTTTTTTTAATAAAAAAAAATTAAAATAAATAAAAATTCAGAATTCATTAATAATTTGATTAGAAAATTATCTTCATCATTATTTTAATAAGATTAATCAATTTTTGTCATACTAATCAAACCATTGTTTATATTTTCATTCATTTGAAAAAAATGGCTAAAATTGGCATACACCTATCTGTCTACATTAGATTACAATGAAAATTTCTTATGTATTTTTGTTTTGTTTTTGATGATATGATCAATTTGGGACAATGCATTTTTTTTGTCATGGTTCGTTCCAAAGAAAAAAATTGTAATCAGCTGACCAAGTTATTTTGTTTCTTTTGTTATCATGATGGATAATAGTGTTTATAAAATGAATAGAAAATATAAAGAAAAAGAACAAATTGACAATGACAAGTAGTGAAGAAACACGAAACAATAATGTGCCTTGAAACGAATGAATGAATGAATGAATGGCCATTTTATTGGAGCAGACACAATGTTGAGGTAATATATTTTGGGATTGTTAGCACGAATGAATCAACATGGCTCATCAAGGATGTCGATCGATGTGTAATATAGTTTTTTTTTGTATTTTGACTTGAAATTCCCAAATATATAATATGGTTGTGTAATCAACACTTTTTTTAGAATTTTCAGCATGATTTTTATTTATTCATTTTGTTGTTTTGTCTATTTATTTTCAAAAATATAGGTTTAATTGCCGATAGCCAACAACAACAATATTATGGATCACCACAATTACAGAGTAGTATTGAAGTTGCAACAGCAATGCCAACGGTTACTGTACGAGGATTTTTAAATTTTCGTACAACTGTTGATGGTACCGTGATTGTATTTACTCCATCACCAAATTCGAATACTCGTGAATCATCCGCAGCAACATTTACGACCACACAACCACCATCGATTAAATCAACACGTGTACCAATTGTCGAAGAGATTAAACCGACAAAACCTAGTGCTATTCCCACTTATCCTACCGGTTTGGTTACAGTACTTGGCGGTACTGTCGTCAATGAAGGTTCCACAACTGTTTACGAAACAAAAGTAATTGGTACCTATATTAGTGGTAAATATGCTCAAATCTTATCCAGTACCACAAAAGTTAAACCAAATGAAGATGTATCAAGCCCAACTGTACGACCAACTCAAACTTATAGCCATCACTCAAATGTTCGACCAACTCGAATGGCGCAACAACATCATCATAATTATCATGGATATCATAAACAACAACAACAACAACAATATTCAGGTCCTTCGCCAAGAGTTGATGAAGATCATCGAAATGAAGAAGAACATACAACTAATGCTATTACCGGAACGGCTAAAAAAATGCATCCACTTCGTGCTAAATCGATAAAATTGGTCGAAAGTTCCAAGGCTAGACATTTAAATGCTCGTCTTCAATTGAATCCATTGAAATCGCGATGGGCAAAAATGAAAGACAATGCTGAAAATAATGGCAATAATAATAACAATGATGGCGAAGATAATTCGGAAAATCATAGCAACAATCCTAACACTAAAATACGACGATTAAAGATACTTGGATCGAAACGATTCACCTTGCCTGCAAGACAATCACCAAGAGTAAGTAAAAGTCAAAACTTGATCGATGAGAATCAATTACATTTTTCTTTTGTATCTAGGTTAAAATGAATCGATTCAAATCAAAATTACCGGCCACTCAAGCTGAAGAGATGCATCATTATCATAATTCGAAAGAACAGGAACTCAAGGATGAAGCAGCAGCAGCGGCAATATCCACCAATAATAATACTAATATCGAATCTGCAAAACAATCAATCGATGATGAAATTAAAGAAAAAATACTAGAAAATTTGTCATCAACCACGGATGTTTCTGCCAATGAAGATAATCATAATGAAAAAATAATAATCGATCCGTCAAAAGTTGTCAAAGAAGTTCAAACAATTACAAGTGAAGTGACACAACACGTTGAAGGTGATCATCTTCAAGTGAAAACTTTAACATTGACCACCACAATCGAACGAACTTTACATCCGACTGAATCGGAATTCGACACTCATCTAATCGCGCCAACATTAGATATTGTTGGCAATAATATTGAAGCTACATCCGTTCCTGAAACACCTGCCTTAGTCATTTCGCGTACTTATTCGGTAACCGAAAGAACAATGCGTACAACTGTTGTTCCAGTATTTGATGGAACATCAACACAAAGTCATACAGTTACCGAAAGTTTTTTCATTCGTAAATTAATCACTGCTTATCGAACATTGCCTCCCGGTGATATGATATTGATTGATAGTACCTCAACTTCGGCATTTAATCCACGGATGAACACTGAATTGATCAATGGTACCGATGTGGATGATTTATCAATGGCCGAACAACAAACTATTCAACCGACTTCAGTTGACTGTAAGTATATACAAATTATTATAATATTTTCCAATGAATCATTAATTTTTTATCCAATTTTCAGCAAACATTCTGCCCACTGAAATGCCTACGATTTTAGATGATAATATATTGAATGATGGTAATTTACAACAACAAATATCTGAATCATCAGATCAAATTGAACCGAGTTTATCGTTTGGTAATGTTGGACAAATGCCACAAATGATGGCATTTCCACAGCAACCAAATCAATTGGCCCAGCAATTTGATTTGAACAATCCTCTATTGTTAGCAGCTGTTCTTCAAAATCCACAATTAGCCGCACTTTATATCGGTTTACAACAACAACAACAAATGAAACAACCCACTCAATACAGTACAATCACAAAACCCACTAAAGTAATGCAAACGGAAACATTGTATAATACAAAATTGGTTAGCTATTATGATGGCCGACAAACACGATCAAGAACAATTTTGGAACCAACTGGAACAACCGAAAAACTTGTAAACACTTATACAACTGAAGTGATTCCGATCATTCCAAATAATAATCAATATGGAATGATGCAACAAGCACAATTTCAAAATATGTTTGCCACACAATTCGGCATGATGCCACAATTTCAAGTGACACCAACTTTACAAAGTTCAACCATATTGAAAACAATGACTACCGTCACTGAAACAACTATGACCAAATCAAAAGTCTACACATTAGTTTATAATGCATTCAGTACCAGATATCGTACGATAACAAGCACGAGTGTAATTCCAACAACTGTTACAACCGTATTGACTGAAACGATTCCACTCACGCCAAGTTCAAGTATCATTCCACAAATGAATTTCTTCGGTTAAATTTAATCGAATGAAATAAAATTTTTTTAAATTATTGATAAAAAAAGAGGAAAATTTCAAAAAAAAAAACTTAAAACAAACAATTTTTCTCGATGTATTTGTTTCAGTATTGATTTTTTTAATCCTTTGTTTTTGTTGTAAATATTATCTGATTTAAATTTTACAAAAAAAAATTCATTGAAAAATTTCATCCATTTTCGATAATTCTGGATCGATTATTGATTTATTAAAACACATAATTTTTCATCTACTTTTTGCTCATCCACTCAATATATTATCACATCATTAACAGATTGGCATTCATTTTCTTTCTTTCTACAGCCTCCTTAAATATTCATCGCTAATTATACAGAAATTTTTTTTCCATTTTCTATGTAATGAAATTTTCATTTCCATTTTTTTCCACCAAAAAAAAGGTAATAATCATTATGGCAATAATCATCATAAAACACAAACATTTGGCATCCATATGAAATATTAGATTAATTTGAATATAAAATAATAATAAGTGAAAACAGAAAGATGAAAAATAAATAATTCTCCTTTTTTTTAAAAAAAGAATTGTTTATTCCCAAGAAATCATGGAATATAATCTTTTTTTAATTCAAGAATCAAAATTCCATTAAGTCACGCACACACACACATATATTTATGGACATTTCAAAGAATCATAATAGCATTACTATGATAAATTATATTAACAAAAAATTTTTTTTCTTTTTTTCGTATTTGAAAAAAAATAAATAGGCATCCTTCATACGACATTTACTTATCATCATATTTGAAATTCAAGAATCAGAAAAAAACATCAAGCTTTATTTTCACTGACACTACAAATGCCTTGAATAATTCTATTCTCATTGCGAAATATCAAACCAAGTGAGACAATCCAAAAAGCTGTTTTTTCCCGTGGTTCCGCCATCATCATCATCATCATCATCATCATCATCACCACTCACACATTCGATCGATTATTCTACCAAAACACTATCTAAACATTGAGCTTTGATTTTTTTCATCGTTACTTTACAACAACTTTTAACATCCATCTGTTAAACGAAAAAAAAATCTCGAGATAGTACTACTTGAAAATAAATTTGATTAAAAATCGTTTGGTTGTACCAATACATACCCTTCCATGGTGTTTGTTTTTACCAGCTTTAAGTTTTTTTTTGTTCGTTTGTTCCAAGATGATCAGATGATGAAGCTGAAAATAATCAATCAATGACTAAATCAATGCTGATGACGCCGACAACAGCGACTGTTATGTTTGAATCGTATCCAGATAGTTTTTTTTCATTTTTGGATCTAAAAATCTTCAAAAGTTTTTCTGTTTCACACTTTTTTTCGATATTTTTTTCGGGTTTGATAGTAGTCATCTGAAAATGAAAACTATGGAATCTTATTCAACAACATTGAAGTTTGAATTTCTTGCTTTTTGTTTTTCTTCTCATTTTGTTTCATATACATTACGATTCTTTTTTTTATTTAACCAAAACAGAAAACCAATTCTTTTTATCAACATTTCATTCACATTTTTCCAAAAAAATAACATCCAAACACATCAAAATCTGTATGGTGTTGGTGATCATTTACGATTGTCTTCCTATTATTTTTTTCCTATTCTTGTTTGATTTCATCTAACGTTTGTCAAAAATGGATAATGGTAAACAAAAAAATAAAAAAAAAATAAGGACAACACACACAAACACATCAAATATTGCAAATGCTCAAATATATTGCATTTTAAATCATATATGAAATTTCATTCTGGTTTTATCTTTTCAATGCCATTCAACACTTGAATTATAACACAACAAAAATACACATTATAAACAATTGAATTCATTCTGTATTATAAATGAAAAACATTATTATTATGTAGGTAAAAATGTTACCTGAAAAAAACCAGAATAAAATACACTGTTTGGCATTCGATTATTTTGAATATTATTCTGTTATTGTTGTTGTTGTTTTTTTTGTTGTTTTGTTTTTGACTCTTCTAAATGCCAAACACCTATATTTAATGTCAATAATACCTACACACAAACATTACTACATTTGACAATTTGAAAACACCGTTCATTCATTCATTCAGGACAATAATAATTATCATCATTATTCTGTTATCAATTCTACATTATAATCAATGGGAAGTTTTTTCACTTTAAAAAACGATAAAATAATAAAATTTAAATTGTGTATATAAAGATATTATTGATTAAGAATTTTATATATGTTGATATTATTTTTTCGTATTTTATTTGAAAAACCATATGGCTAACATTTTTATTTTTGTTTGGTCCGGAAGCCAAAAGAATAATAACAACAGCATAAAATACCGGAACATAATTTTGAAAATGAATGTTTCCGGCCTTTTTATCATATATGAAAGAAAATGTTTTTTTTTCAATATTGGTAACTAAAGCAAATTTGAAACAAAATTTCGAACTAAACATAGCAAAAATGTTTTATGACTCATCATAATGATAATTATTTCAACAGTTTATGGGAAAGAAAGGGGAATGATGATAATTATTGAATTGTTTGTGTTTTTGTTCATCATCATCATCATTCTGGATCATGACGACAACGACAACAACAACAATGACAACAATCATCATCAGCATAATGTTCATAATAAGATTGATGCACAGCCATTTATTAATGAAACTGTAAAAAAAGAGTACATCATTTTGATGTTATGTAATCGTATACATAAACTGAATCGCTGATTTAAATAAACAAAGCAATGTTTTGTTCCATGATGTTTATAATGATGATGACGATGATGATGATAAGGATGATTATTGCATTGTTTTATATCTTTTGGCCATGTATGAAGAATATTATTATTATCATCGTATTGGATAGGTTTTTCATGAAAATAGACTAGCTGAAAAAAGGCATATGATTGAAGCGAAAAGATTAAAAACATTCTATGGATGATGAGTTTTTTTTTATATTCATCTTTACCGTTATCATGATGAGAAAAAAATATTCATTAATTATATTTCGGTTGGACTAACTTTTAATGACTGACATTCTTTTGCCATAATATTTTTAAGAATAGAATAATGGTAATGATGATGATGTGAATATTATTCGATTATTAGTTGCTTTCACGCAATATTAATTTCCAATAATGAAAAAAAATTATTCTATGGCTATAATCTTGCAATAATGATGGCGATGACATGCATACACATATGACTAGTGAATAAATAATGACGATAAAGAATTGATGACAAATTTTTTTGGCGTTCCAAAATTTTGTATGAGTAATCGTGTTGTATTTTTTTTTCTTTTTCATTATATCATGCACATGTGTATTGATTCTATTTGAAGGTCAGCCAGCAACCTTTGACCGTTTATGATTGATCATTCTATCACTTATAATTGAGAAATTCATCGACTTTTGGTTAGCATTATAGATATAAAGAGCAATTTTTATTGTATGAGTGTTCTATTCATTGAATGAAAATCCATATCCTATCGAATAAAAGCGATCATAATTAAATTGAATCATCATTTTGGTCTATATTGAAATAATAATGTGATCAGTGTTCGAGGTCGATGAATCGAACCAAATGTTAATTTCAAGTGTATGTACATAATGATGATTTGAAAACGATGAAAAAAGTCTTTTTGATTAAATGATTTGATTGTAATCTTTTTTGATAGGCGAAAATATTTTCTTTTGCCAACGAATATTATTCTTGTTACAATTTACACAAACAACTTTTTGGCTGAGAGAGAGAAAAGAATCCATTCATCCTTTCATTTGAAATCAACATTTATTTTTGTGAAGATGCTTTTGATGTGCAATTTGATGATAAAAATCGACAACTACCATAAGTAATGTGTACTCAACATTTATCGAACGAAAAATAAAAATTTATGTAAACACAATATACAAACATTTTTTCAGATAAAACGTTTGTTTTTTTTCTGTTGTATTTCATGAAGCAAATCATTATCCCGAACAACAACATGCTGAGTGATGATTCTGTTTTAGAATCAGACCATTGTTTCTTGATTTTTTAGATTCAAGTTTTTTTTGTGTTTTCTATTTTATCAACAATTTCTTCGGTCTGTTTGGCTAATGAGACGTGCCATGTGTATGTATATGTATGCTCATTGAAGCATTCATCATTCAAATACATCAACAATGATCTAGCCAGAAGCTATTATGTTTTCCAATTCTTGATTGTTGTTGGCATTTATTTATATTATAGATGATTGGTTTGAAGAAGTACCGTGTTTTTTCTTTTGGTCTATCACCATATAATTCATCATCATCATCATAAACACTAAAGTTGTAACCGGAATTCATTTTTGTTTTTTGCCGAAAATACTGAATTTCGAATGGTCAATTTGAGAAATGATGAAAACCTTTTTCATCGAAAACAAAAACTTTGATAAATATTTCAATGGCAATCATTAACGGGTAATTTGTTATGAAGTATTATTAAAACATCAAACAAAATTGAGTACAGTTTGCACATTATTGATTCATCGACTAGTTGTTTAGGTTGTCTGAATAAAATTCTCTTTCAGTAAAATTCTAATGATCAATTTTTTCTTGGTTATGATGATGATGATAATGATGGGCTTTAATGTGCCTAATGCGTGAGTCAGTTAATTTATTTATTCATTCCTTGTTTGATGATATAAGAAAATCGAAAAAAATTCATAATATAAATGATAATGATAGGAACAACAAGAAGAAGACAAAAAATTGTGTGGTTTTTTTTCACTCAATAATGCGAGGTTTTATTGTGATGTTTCAAAACGAGAAGTTCATTACTGTTTCATATACGATATAAACCAAGAGTTTTAGCAACGTATAATAAAGACCTTAGATTGCTAAGGCTTGGTTATTTTTGAAAAAAATATATATTAAAGTTCCTGCTTTTTTCACTAAAGTTCTTAGTTTTTCAGGAAAAAAAATGAAAAATACATTTTCAGTTTCAATAAAAGCATTCATCTTGCGTTGATAATAATAATAATGGAATAATGTGGACTGCTTAGGAATTGGATACATTTTTTATTTTGTGTGGCTGATTTATGCACTTTATTCAGAGAGTTTAAAAAAAAATTTACGATGAACAAAATATTCGAAGTATAAATTGATGCGGCCATTTGTTCATCTTCATTGTTTTTTCTTTTTATTGTTTTTGGCCTCATCATCATCATCATCATCATGATTGTTGATGGTAAAGGAACAAAATGTATGCACCGAACTAGGTTCGTGTTTTATGTTCATTATTTATTCGTTGAATTTTTTTTGTGGATAAAAGCCAAAAACAGTTAGTGTATAAATTGGTTAGAAAGTTCAAAATCTCACTATACGTACAACGGAAGAAGAATTCGTTTATGAATTTGTTCGTTCTTTTTTTTATTATATAACTGAATAAATGTGTATTTGACGTTGTGTATTTATATATATTGTTAAGGCACAAAAGCAAGCCAAAAATGAAAATAAAAAATAAAGACGTCCAACCGCGTGACCACGGTAAATTCTTGCAACTGATCATCCATATGGTGTGTGAAAATGACATCACACTATATCATTGCAACAACAACAAAAAAAAAATTGAAAAAACCAATCATTTATCAAGTCGAAATTTATCACCCGAAAAAAAGGAAAGAATTTATTTCATAAAAGAATTTTCTATGTCGCACACCATCCTAACAGTGTTTCATAGAAAAAAACTTGAAAATTTTCAACAAAAAAAATGATATCTCGATCATCATTTAGATCATTAATCACATTTTTTTTTCAATAAAGTTGAGTGGATTTTTGGGGTTGTTGTTGCTTAAGGTAGATAAAAGAATTCCTTAAAATTCAGAATGTCAACATTTATTATTTGTTTTGGTCAAATTTTTTCTGATTGTTTAAGAAAATATAATTGAAATAAGTGTTACCAAAGTTTTAAATATTGAAACCGAATCAGTACAACCTATGCACAATTGAATAAACAAATTTTGAATAAATCTTTTCAGTTGATTCTAAGAATTGAAAAAAATATTTGAAACTCGAATAATCAAACCAAAATAAAAATGAAAAAAATGAATCTAAAAAATCAAAATTGGTCTTACACCGACGCACCTAACCAGAATAAAATGACAAATCCTACACGGAAGGATTTACAAACAAAAAAATGGAAAAGCTTCGAAAATCTAGGTTCATATTACCCGCCTAAACACATACCGTCAAGCCAACAAAACAAAAAAACAAAACAAAAATTTGCCCTTTTTTCCAACATACATCGTCATCAAACATAAGGCGCTTAATCTAGTCTATTTGTTTTTTCTAGAATATTTCCAAAAAATAAAATGACTATAGATGCTAAAAAAAAGTAACTTTATGACAAACATTGTGAAGAAAAAGCATTTCAAGAAGAAAAAAAAATCATAACAAAGCGTATTTTGCAAAGGAAGAAAATCCAAAATAATGATTATGAAGAATGGAATCATATGTTTGGTACGAAATAAGAAAAATGTCAACTTTATTTAGCTCTAAAAATATTTGCTTGTTCAAATGTCAAAATGATGTTACAATTGTAAAGCGATTTTTTCCCTCGAAAAAAATAAATAAAGACGATTTACTCTATCAAATGGAATTTGATTGATCTGATTGACATTAAGAATTGTGAACATGAAAGAAAATGACCAATTATCTTGAAATTGATTTAAAAATAAACAACAATAGTTGATAAAATGAAAATTTTATTTTTAAAGAAATAATAATTTTTTTCAATCATCAAGGTTTTTTTATTAACAAAACTTTTCTGTTTTTTTAAAATCAGGTTTATTTGATTGAAACAAACAATAATAATGTAATGAAAATTCATCGGGAATGAGGAATGATGATAAAAAAGGAAAAAGGAAATTATATCTCTTTATATATTGGATATATTTTTGTTTTTGTATTTATAAGATATTCATTATATGATTGACAATTGGTTTACAGATTTGATTCGCTGAATTGTTACAGTAGATTTTAGATTAATAATAGAATTTCTCGAAGTATGGTTAGTAGAAATAATTTTCGAGAAATAGATACAATTTAACAATGAATATTGGATGTAATTATGACATGAATGCTTCAATGTATTTAGTAAGTGAATCCAGCAATAGAAAATGATGAGATAATGTTGATGTTCAAGCACCAATACAAAGACGAGTATCGGATAAAAGTTTAGCGATACGTTTTTTGGTTTGACTATAACGTTTCTTTTTACACGGCTTTTTCGGTTGTTTACGTGCTGATGCTTTGATGCAATTGAAGAAAATCTGTACAAAAATAAATGAATAATAAAAAGAAAATTAATACAAAAAAAAATGAGTTTTAATAATAAAATTTTGATTAAAATGATCACTTACATCTCGAAGTACACATTCAAATTGTGTTAAGTGTTGATTTTTCTGTGCATATAATCGTAGAAAACGTTCAAAATTGGCCACTTTACGGAAGCATTCTTTTGATGGACAATCTAAACAATTTAATAATAACATTAACATAATTGATTGACAATAATAATCAAATAATTGTGAAACGATTTAAAATCAACTTACATTCATCAATGGTTTGATTTATCCCATGATTTTCCCTGGTACATCATATATAGAAAATAGAAAAATGGTGAAAAAAATTTGAGATTAATCATTTTTGAGCATTTTGTATGCAGTAAAACGGTTAAAAATGTATAATTATGGACAAAAAAAAATTCATTTAATCATTCAACACAATTTTCATTATTATTTCAATGAAATAATAATTCCACTTTGGTTTACTCATCCATAATAATAATAATAATAATGAAATAATGGAATCATCGTCACAATCATTATCATTTGGAACAATTTTTTTTCATATATTTTCCGGACCCAATTGTAATGAAAGGAAAGGAAGAAAAATAAACGATCCAAAATTGGTATCAAAAATTTTTCGTCAATAGAAGAATAGAAAAAAAAGAGGAAAAGGAAATTTTTCCATTTTCGATTCTTTTGTATTTAGAATCATTGTAAAAGCGTTAATAACAAAAAAAATATAATGTGATAAAATCGAATATTTATTTCATATTTCTTTTTTTAAATATTTAGTTCATTGTGTGTATGTGTTTTTATGTGTATTTTTCTTTGTATTGTTATTCCACAGAATTCATTTGAATGAGAAATAACAAAAACAAAACAAAACAAAACGAAAAAACCAATGGAAATGTATTCGAAATGAAAAAACTATGTCGGTTGATTACACAACAATTCCATCATCAAATATCATATAAATTTATATCGGCAAAGTTATTGCTCATTTCAACCCTTTTTTTCTCATTATTACCATAGCTGAATGGTAAAAAAAAGATCTCGGTATCATTGATGAATCCCTGCTGTTCTCGAAGGCACCGTTGAAACTTTTATTTTTTTTCTTTCAATTTTGATGAAAAAAAATTTCATCATCATCATCATATACAATTGCAATGATCATAGAATCTCTCTATGTCAATAGTCAACATAGACATGGAACTTTTTTTCCACTCATTTTACTATTTCGAATCGTTTATTTCTTTTTCATTTTCATATCATTCTCAATATGATTGTTTGTTCAATGTGAATTTGAACAGGAAAATGAAACTACTTTAAATACGAGCCAACCAAATGCAATTGAAGATGAACTGAAGCGAATGAATAAAATTAAAAGAATTCCAGGAAATAGTTTTTTTTGCTCTTTCAAAATAAAATAAAAACACACAACAAAATGGTAATTCATGCATTTGGATTCAAGAACCTTATGCTTAGAATTACATGAGGATAGCTGATTCGATGAACTTGAATAACATAACCAATGTGGGCAAGAAAAAAAACGACATGAAATCAGCAAAAGTCAAAACGACTAATCACATGAGATTTGGACATTGGAGCAAACGAAAGCAACAAAAAAAACATCAACGACACTTTTTATTTCGAATAATTTGCAAACATTGCTAGTATTTATTCAGTATCATAGTGATCCAGAAACATAACATAACCAAATGTGAACGAAGAAAAAAAAAGATTTCATGGCAAGGATAAAATTCGATTAATTCGCAAGAATCGTTAAAGAAAAAAATCTCAGCAATATTTGTATTATCAGTGATGTATATACGTTAAAAATAAAAACCAGAAAATTTTCGAATCACTTTTATACTGTTATATTTATATAAATTGTATATGGTATCAAAATACGATAATAGTTATTATCTATTGTAAAAGTCTAACAAGAAAACAAAACTGATGACAACAAATAAACGAATTTGATAAGAGAATCAAAAAAAAAATCTCAACAAAATAGAAAATAAAAAGAAAAAAGAATCAAAGAAATGAAGATTCATGTAATGAGCTAGGATCAAATCATCATCATTATCACCGTCGTATTAAAAAGTTATATATGTGTGTATGTTTGTGTGTGGGTAAATAAAATAACATTATCTTTATTGAATAGAAATGGAATTCAAATAATCATTTTCTTTTTCATTCATGTCCATGTCTATGTTTTGTTATTTTCATGAAATTTCATATTCTGTGGTAAAGTTTTTGTCACATTAGAGATAATCACATCGTTAAGATTTTTGTTGAATTCGATTCTAACCAAAAAAAAAATTGGTCACTCGCCGTATTGACATTGACATTGATATGATTATAATCATCATTTAGCGAGGAAATATTTTGTCGGTATATCAGCTATCAGCAGATTGTCATCAAAAAAAAAATCGCAAAATCATGATTATTTGATATTCGATAAAATGTCACGTTCGATCGAATTTTTTGTTCCATCCATATGAACGTATGTCAATTTTAGAAAAAATTCATTCGCTATGTCTGTCATACGATAATGTTCCCATCATCATCATAATCATCATGATTGTGGAAGAATCCATGTTGGTTGTGGGAAAAAAGTAGCAGAAAAAACTTTTTTTCTCCATATGAATATTGGCCATTGGCAAAATTGATGTGATGAGCGAATTTCATATTTGAATTGAGAAAAAATAAATGCAGTATTCGAAAATATTCTATCTAGAAATCTTTATCCTTGAAAACTGAAAAATGAATGAATGAATATTGATTTGAATTCGAACGTACGATAAATCCTAAAGCTATCGAAATTGAATTGAACATCAAGTCATAGCAATAGTTTCATTTTGTAATGAGAATTGAAAATGAAATTCAAATAACAAAAAATGTTTCAATATTTTCGATTTTATTTAAACTTTTTTTCTATCATGATATATAAATATGGTTAATAAATAAATAATGAATCGAAAAAAATTTTATGGAAAAAAATGGAAAAAATCCGGTTCATTTTCTACCCAAAAAAGAGAAAGCTATTTTTTCATCGATTCTCAATATACATTGAGAATTCATAATGAATCGATAAAAAAAACAGTATTGTCTATTTATCGATATGATTACAATAGGAATCTGAAAACATTTTCAATACATTTTCATTCTTAATGATTGTTTGTTTAACTATAGTGCAAACTTATAATAATGGAGCTAAAATCACAAATACGAACACTGTTAAGGATAAAAAATGGAAATAAAAATCGTTGAATGATGAAGAATAATGGAGAAAAAATGGTAAAAAAACTACAACAACAATAACAACAATCTATGAAACCGGAAAACCAAAAAAAACCACATATAAATTTGCGAAGAAAAAATGTATGAAAAAAATGCAGATTGCATTTGAAATGTAACATACAACACAGAATAAATCTTTTAGTTTTTCATCTCAGAAAAAAAATAAATATTATTTCTCGTTACGATGAGACCTATTTTGATTTTCTTTTCTTTTATTTTTATTTTGGTAAAGCCAAAATTCTTTGACAAACCACCGAATCATACCATATAATAATAATAATAATATAGAATGTATTGCATTAAAATGAAATTAAATCTCATCTGCAGACATCAACTGACAAAAAAAACGACCATATCTAAATCATTCTACCGCGACATTCTTTAATAATATTGGCATTCTATAATGGTAAAAAAATGGTTCCATTTGGATTGAAGTGAGGGAAAAAAAATGTCAACTACATTTTTTTCATTTGTTTCATTTCCTGATACAAATATCTTCATAGAACCTTGGATGTGTCATGTCAATCTTTGACATATAAAGGCCGTACATAAACCTGATGCTTTGCATCAAAGAAAATTGATTACGTTTGCTATTTTTTTCTCTTCATTTCCTTATTCTTGTCTTTCATCATCGTCATTAGAGTTCATAAACTTTCATTATTAAAAACACACTTTGACACATTGCCCACACACACACATGGCCAGAGGGTTTAGAAAATTTGACCGTTTTCCGAGAAAAAAAACCGGACAATTGAACAGTGAAAGAGAAAAATGTAAACATAAAAAATAAAGATAAATAAACATTAGAAATAGCAATCTATTTTAATAAAATTGGAAAAAAAATTTAATTCACTACAATTGAATGTGTTCAGTTATGATCGAGAGAAAAAAATTTTACTTTTTTTCATAAATAAAATAATCATCTCGTTCCCCGAAAAAACATACATATATTCTTTAGGAATGTGAATGTGGTAAAAAAAATTGAAAAATTAATTTGCCTCTGGTCGTCTGTGGTAGTGGCGTGGTTCTGTATCTCAATCGATCAAGATACATTATATAAACACATGAAATTCTATTTACAAATGAATGAATGTAATAAACATTGTCTGGAAAAAATTTTTTCAATATTAAAAGAATTTAATTTTGAAAAAAAGGCTAACAGGAATTTTTTTTTTGCCAAAACACACAACAGGCAAACAATGATGATAAATATGTACGAGGAAAAGAAATTCCGGAAATACAAACAACAACAAAAAATAAATGTACAAAAAATTTTCATTTCAAAATGTATTTATAATCCAAACTATTGAAAAATTGAATGGAAAAAACATGACAATAAATTGTTCATAGGATAAAATTGATTTATTTTAGAGATGATGAAACCTACTTCTTCTTCATTGGTACATTTGAATCGATTATGTTTCTGAATTCATACAATTAAGTTTATGTTTGTCTTTCATTTTCATTCGTAAAATGTAGCTGCATTATTCATATTCTAACATTACATAGAAGAAAAAATGACATCAAAGATTCTTAATGATAATATCAAAAATCCAAAACAATCAAAAACTTAATGAGAATGGAGAGTTGGAAATAAATGAATTCTTTAAAAAAAGAATCTCTTATCAGTACTATTCTCAAGCTTTTCATTTTCTAATGTTAATATTGTAAACCACCAACAAAACAGAGCAAAACAAAAAAGACAAAACTCATCATCATTATATCACATTCTTTCATTGTCATTTTCATCACCAGATCTTTTATCAACATCGTGCCGCATCGTTTCATATCAAAAAAAATGAATTCTATTTATATTTTATTCAGGTAAATTGCATGGAATTTCGGGATTTCCGCAAGATACAAAAAAGTAAATCTTAGGGAAATATGTAATCATGGCTCTAAAAAAAAGAATAATGTTGATGATCATCATCATTATCATGTTCTTTCAACTGTATTCGAAATTCATGAAAATATACAATTATGGCTTTATAATAAATATTAAAAAAAATAAAAACACTTACCGTCGCTTGTTATTTGAACTAATACTACTTTTAACATTATCATTATTATTGACGACAACATTTTCATTTTCAGGCAATATGAATAATTCTCGTTTTGATCGTCGATTTACGATTTTATTATCAACAACAATAACATCACGATTAAATTGATTATAATTTTGATCATCATGTTGAATATTCTGCCAACCGATTGTAACAGATTGATCATTTTTATCATGATTATAATAATTTGGTTGAATTTTGTTGATATTGAAATGCGAATTTTTATTTTCAGGAAAACAAAAGGCAACTTCGGATATGGAAAGATATGCAAAACATACAATCATAAAGATGTTCATGATGATTGATAAATGTCGTTTCTGATAATGATTATGATGATGATATTTGAATAAAAATGTCGTTGATAATGATGATGATGATGATGATATATTCTGGTCAGCTGTAGGAAATTTTCTACAAAATCGTAATAATCGATATTTTTGTTGTTGAGTACCATTATCATCACCATTGTTTAGATGATGATTACATAGACATTTACTGCTTGAAACATTATTATATGAAAATTCTTTTTGACAAGACATTTTTTCAATAGTTGAGCAGTTCGTTGTTGCCATCGATTATGATCGTAGCCCAAGTGAATGATAATAATATCGATCGTTTTTAACAATATAGGCGTATGATTCACTTAAATCAATTCAATCGATTAACGAAACAGAATATACAAAAAGAAGAACAAAGAAAAAAGAAAATACGATGTCAAGATGGAAGAAAAGAAAAGAATCTGGTTATATGATTATAGTGTGTTTAAGCGTCTACAAAAGAATAATAAAATAAAACAAAATAGAACGTTAGTTTAGTGGAACATTTCTAAGTCAATTCTATAAATTGAATTGAAAATAATGATCATCATGTCATAGTTTGCCATAATAATAAAATATAAAAAACAAACAAACAATTGAAATGATTCACTACAAGGTTACAAAACAGAATTCTCATTTAACTACTAAATAAACCTGAACAACAACAACAATAATTGACTAGAATTTTTATGTAGTTTTTTTTCGACAAAAAAAAGAGAAAAAAATTCAAGTTTTGTATAGTGATTAAAAAAGAAAAGAATATCAATTTAAATGTTTTTTTTTTACTAAAATGATACAAACAAATTAGAAGAAACGGGCTAAGCAAATTCGTCTCTAATTTATGAGTATACGGAAAAAAATTCCTTGCTACCCTGTATTTAGGTGGAATACAGGAAAGAAGCAACTGCAACAATAAAAAGCTGTCAGTTTGAAAAAAAATCCGAACTAAAGAAAAATGTCTGGTTGGATTTTGAATATAAGCTTTGTATTTTATGATAATAATAATTGTTATTATATATAAGCAAGACAAAAAAGTGTCGTAAAGAATTGATCATATATAGAATAAAGTTTCAAAACAAAGTAACGGAAACACACACACACACACACTTACACAAAAATACTTGGAAGACAAGATGCATTTTTTGTTTGGAAAATACAATGTATAGATCATCAATTATTGTGTGAATGGTTAGTGAAGAATTCACATGAACATACGCGCGAACATCTATTTGACCTCAAGCAAAAAGAAAGAAAAAAAAATATTATTTACCAAGAAATTCGAACCAGAATACTTTCTTTTTTTTGCACTCTATCTCTCTTTTCCACGAATACAACGAATGAAATAATCAAGTGAAAAAAATAGGGAAATTGTATTTTCACTTGAATCTGTACTTCAATCTAAGCTAGTTAAATATTGAGTTTCCGCATCTCATAATAATAATATTCTCAGCTGAATATTATATCAATTAAATAAATGGATTTGACTTGTATGGAAAGTAGCAATAAGTAGCCGTCTTGTTTTTTTTCTGTCTCAACAATCAACGTTTGGATTCAACAAAAACAAAATCGATTTTCATCATTAAAGGCAACAAAAATTATGGCCGGAAATGAAGTTGCATGGATAAAATATCAATAATGAATGTTTCACTGCTATTATTTTTCATTTTTTTTTTGGTTCAATAATTAATAATTTAAAAAAATAATTTCCATAAAGATTCAAATGAGTTCGTCGTCGTCGTCGTATTAATTAACATGATCATTTTTTTGTTTGTTTGTTTGTCAGGGATCTATCTTCTAATCGTTATATAGAATCAAAGATTAATGAATATAAACAACGCGCGTATCGCAAATAAACAAAACACATTGTGAAAAAAACAAAACAATAGAAAAATCCATTTTGATTCGCATGTTAAATTAGGCATGTTGTTGACTTTTCCAGTAAACATCGAAAAAAAACGATATCTGTATTGTTGTGGATGCCATTATTTTATTAAATACGCTAACTTTGCAAACACCAGAAAAGAAAATAAATAAACGAAAAACGGGAAATCAAGTTCCTGGATGAATGAAATGAGAATCGAAAAAAATTGAACATAAACTATAGTGATACCCTTAGTGAAACAAAATGGACAGAATCAAACCAAAAGAAAAGGAAAAAAACAAAACAGCTGGTTCAGCAAAAAAATATGAGGGAAAAAAAGTTCAATTTGAACCCGATTTTTAGTTACTTGGTTTCATTCTCATTGGATTTTCAGCACTAAAAAAACGTGTATCTTCAATATATGATGATGATGGAATATAAATGGGTCGGCGAAATGCTCACATTTTTTTCAAACATAGCAATGATATGAATCAAATATTGAAAATCAAATGGAAAACAATCTATAAAGAAATTTTGTCAAATAAAACCGATGATAAAAGACATCACATCAGTGTGAGCAAACAGATCAGTCAAAAAAAATCGTACAATTATTTAAGAATTATATTAATCGATAGTTGTAGTAACGAAACTATCGATTTCGAACGATCATTCAATATTAATTGATTCAATCAATTAATAGATTTAAGTTTTATTTTTTTGGGGATATTTTTCAAGCTAAACTTTTTGAGGATAAAATTATCGATTTCCAAAAAAAGACTAATGTCCTAAAAATAATCGTAATTGAAATATTGTAGTTTCGAATTTCAACCAGAAAAGAATTCAAAAATAGAAAACAAAATTCACATAAATACAATAATAGTTTTTGGTCATCGTTGTGTTGTAATTCAATCTTACAATAAATATACATTCTTTGTTGGTTACACACAAAAATAATAATAATTTGGTGTCAAAAGAATATTTCATTGAAAAGAAAAAAAAATTCTACAATCAAAATAAAGAAAAATTGTTCAAAATGTTTTGAAGCAATTCGAGATTTGGTCCAGAATTTTTTTATTTTTGTGTTGGTTTATGACAATTGAAAATTGATATTTTCTATTCACCAATATATTTTTGGATCCATAAACATAAACACATCTCATAACGATATGATCGAACGGCTACATTCAGCTACACACTTTATCTATAACCATAAAAATTCAATTCATCGATTTTTTTTTCACTACTACTGTTGACAATATTGTTCTAAGAAACTTTGCCGTTTTTTTTTGTTGTTATTGCTTGCTTCTCACCACTGGATCAATAGAAATGGGTCCCAATGGTTGAAAAATATGAAATTCATATTATTATGATATAAATGTGATATACGTAAGAAAATCAAATGTTTGTTGACAATATGACGTAAAAGGAAGTGATTAATATCAATGAACAAACGATATAATTTTTTTTTTTGAAAGATAGAGAAGAAAATAAGTATTTTTGATTCGTATTAATACAACAACAACAACAAAATTGTGATGATTGTAACGATCATTTTTTTCTGGATCATAAGATAAAGGAAAGCTTTATTCAAATAGAAAATAATGTTTATAGAATCTTATATAACACGCATATATAAAATGTATAGTGGAATCAGATTCAAAACAAAAAAAAAGAAAAAAAAGTTTGATTAAGATAATGGTGGAAGCTTTTCGATCAGGCTTTTATTTCAATGAATGAAAATAACATTCAACATAGACATGTACATTATAAGACAATGACTTTCATCATCATCATCATGGAAAAGATAAGTGCATTGTACTGGACACTTTTTTTCTGAAAATAATCAGACTATCCCAAACTTTAATGGTTGAGTTTGTATATATGTGTGTTTGTGTATTTTATTTTATAGTTGAGATTCAATGTCCATCTAGGGAATCATTGTTTAAATTCAGTTGATTTAGCCATATCCACCCAAAAAAAATATATTTCGACAAAAATATTTAGAATGATATCCGTTAAGGAAACGATCATAAATTGACCGATTTGATCATCATCATCAAGTTTGAATTTTTATTTTTCAAGTGTTCTAAAAAAAGTATATGCACAAAAATAATAAACAAGAATAAAATTCATTGCACCCATCACGCAATCAATGGAAAATACGAATAACGATAATGATTATGATCTTTTTTTTTGCTTGCTTGATGACCAAATAGTTTTACATTTCATTTTTATTCATTTTCCATATATTTATCAGAAGTTAAATCGATGTGAATTAAATATAAATCATCATTGATCAAACAAGTAGCCAAATATTTTTGATCAAAATGAAAATCATTTAAATTCCATTCCATGTATGTTTGTTTAATAAACATGTAGATTAATGTGTTCAACTCAAAATCATTATAGACGACCTGAGTATATAAATATAAAAATATTTCATTTACAAATAGGAAAAAAAACACTAAAAGAATAAATAAAAATGATGATTATAGTTTGTGAAAATAGCTTTCATTGAAATGGATACTATTGGTATAGCAATGAAAAAATGGAATAAAAAAGTTTCAAGAATTTCTTTATTGAAAGAATAGACAAACTTTAACTATAACTACTATATCCTTTATTATCTATTGCATCAATGAACACATCTTCATATCTCATGGTTGTTTCTAATGAAAAGATTAATTGAAGCGAAAGATATCCACATCATATCAACAACAAAAAATACAATAACCTAGAATGGGTCATCATCAGCCATCATTATAGTTGCTAAAATGTCCATGATGGGTGATAGAGACAATACAATATCCATTGGCCATCAACATCTAACGATTTTGTCCAACGACAAAAAACAACAATAATAATGAAATAAAAAATTAGAAAGAAAAACGGAGTGGAAAATCATTGAATCGTATGTATCATCAAATCATATGTATTTGTATGTATGTGTCGGTGATGATTCAGTCAACACTAATTTTTTTTACAGTTCCACTTTTCAGTTCATGTTACAAATTCGGTTAGATTCGTAATGAATGATTAGTTCCAAGAGACCATCTGATAATACTAATAATAATAATGATGATAATAATGGCCATACACATTGAAAATTGGAAATAATATTTGTGAAACTGTTTTGTTTTGAAGAAAAAAACAAGAAACAATCTTCGGCACCAAAACCAATTGGACACTATACTATTAGAACAATGACAACAGTTTCATAAGTAAATAAATTTTTATATCTCGTTGTCGACTCGAACAAATGAGAATATTTAACCATTTTCTATTCAATAAACATTGTTGTTTTCGAAACAAATACAAATCGTTTTCGGATCATCATTATTTAGAATGATATTTACAGATCGGTTTTGAAAATTCCAGTGTTTTCAATTGATTTATTTTCGAATATCAATTGGCTAGATTCGTTTTTTGTCATTATTTGAATCAAGAATAAATGATCATTTGTATTGTTGCAATCAACTCAATTAAGGTTCTAACATTGTATATTATATTCGACAACCATATGGTAGACAAAAGACTGATGATCATAATAAACTATTGAAAATTTAAAATTCTAAAGAAGAATAGATTTTCG